AGTACGACACCTTTGACGATCGGATATCGCTTCGGCATCGGCGTAGACGATGAGCAGTTAACATTCCGACGGGAACAAACGGATCGGCATAGACGGGTGAACTTAAGGAGGTACGCGGTAACGCGAATTAATCTTGGCCAAGAGGAATATCTCGAGGCCAGATCCCACGGATCACGCCGTTGAGAACATTGCAGAGAAGCAATTCGTTCTTCTAGAGGAGCAGTCGGCGCGATACACGGATCGGGACTCGGCCATTTATCGGGATCGAATTGCAACCAAGGAGGACCGCGCCACCAGAGCGCGTGATTTATAATCTCGTCACCGAATATTCCCCGCGAAGCGCAATCAGCGGGATTGTCTTCGGTTGACACATGTCGCCATTGACAGTTCGGAAGGCGCGACTGAATTTCGTTGACGCGATTAGCCACAAACGTCTTCCATCGCGACGGATGCTGCGTCACCCAAGCGAGAACGATAGTGGAATCCGTCCAGCAAAAACACGGGAGGTCGTGATACCCGTTTGTTTCACGGACGAATTCAAGAAGTCGTGCGAGCAACAATGCGGCTGATAATTCTAAGCGAGGTATGCTGAGCGGTTTTAAAGGCGCGACCTTAGATTTTCCGGCGAGTAGTGTGACCGTAATTGCGCGCGATTCAGAGATAACTTTAATATAGATCGCTGCGGCATACGCGTTGTTCGACGCGTCAGCGAATCCGTGAAGCTCCGCGTGCCCGTTCTCCGAGCCGATCTCGCACCAGCGAGGTATCTTTACATGGCTGAGATACGCGAACCGAGAGTAGATTTCTGTCCAATGAGACAACAGTGCCTCGGAGATTTTATCGTCCCAGCCGACTTTGAGGCGCCAAAGCTGCTGCATTAGTATTTTGGCAGTAATAGTTGCCGGGGTGACCCAGCCGAGTGGATCGTATAAAGTTGCAAGAGCGGACAAGATTGTACGCTTGCTGATCGGTACAGTAGCTGCTAATGAAACGCTAAACTCGAAACTGTCGAGCGCGGGACTCCACCCAATGCCGAGAATTTTGAGTTGCTCGTCCCGAGCTAATGGCTTTTTTCCCGCCAAACCGTGGTCCGCTAGATCAATGTCGGCCAGAAGAGAGGGCGAATTGCTCGCCCATTTTCGAAGTTTGAAGCCGCCCCTGGCCAATATCGAAATGACCTGGTCTCGTTTCTCCCTAGCAACATCCGGAGTATCGGCGCCGAATATCACATCATCGACATAAATATTATCGCGGAGAATAGGGATCGCGAGCGGAAAGTGTTGACCTTCGTCTTCGACGAGTTGTTTCAAAACCCGAAGTGCTAGAAACGGCGCACATGACATGCCGTAGGTAACCGTTAATAATTGATATTCGGTTGGAGAGTTCGACGGTAATGATGCCCACAGAATTCTTTGATAATTGACATCGCGATGATCGACGAGGATCTGGCGATACATTTTCGCGATATCGGCCGAATATACGTATTTGTATCGTCGCCATTGTAAAATAACAGACGTGATGTCCGTTTGTAACTTTGGACCCACGTGTAGAAAATCGTTCAACGATGTGCCGTTCGAAGTAACACTCGAAGCGTTGAATACAACGCGGAGGCGTGTTGTTGTGCTATTTTCGCGGTACACCCCGTGATGCGGAATGTATACATGTGGTTCGCGCGGAGCTTCAGAGTTTATTGCCGGTCGCATGTGACCGAGACTTTCATATTCCGTCAGAAAGTCTCGATATTCCGTTTCTAGCGCCGGCTTAGTTTGAAACTGACGCATCAGCGCATTAAGTGATCGCTCGGCACGAATTCGGGAAGCACCGATAGCGATCGGAGGTCCGTGCTTGAAGGGGAGGCGTACTACGTATCGCCCGGTAGCGTCGCGAGAATGGGTCCCGCGAAAATGTTCTTCACATTGCTTTTCTTGAGGAGTGAGAATTGATTGTCGGGGAAGTTCTTCGACTTCCCAAAATCGACGAAGCTCTTGCTCGAGGGCAAGAGAGCAGAATACATGATGTGCAGTAATGCTCGCGAGAGCGCATTTAACAGAATGAGTTGTTAAATTGCCGCGTGCATCCGTCTCTGATGAAGTGATGGGGCCTGAAATGACCCATCCGAAAATGGAGTTCTGGGCGAACGGCTGCCCGATACCCCCCTTACGGATGCCATCGAGAATGATGTCTTTATAAAGATCAACCCCAATAATTATGTTAATGGGATCGGGACTAGTAGGATCCGTGTCGGCCCACGGTAAATCAGCGAGATGAGAGAGAGAGGACATG